TAGTGACTGGAGTTCAGACGTGTGCTCTTCCGATCTGCTGCACTGTGGTCTTGCCTTACCCAGCTGCTCAACTCGGGCTATGGCTGGCGCTGCGTTAGCCGCGCCATCCCGAATGTCCCTGTTGCTGGTGCTGCTGCTTCTGCTGCTGGACACGCAGCAGCAGCAGCAGGTGCAGCAACAGCAGCACGTGGTGCTGCTGCACCTGCAGGAGCAACGGGACCACCTCCACTCAACCAGCCGACCTTCCTTCCTAAAGCCCTGAGCAGCTATACGCCGGCGTTGTTGCCTGCTGCTGCTGCGCGGTTGCTGGCCCCTCACTTGCAGCCGCAGCAGCAGCAGCAGCAGCAGCATATGCTCTACGTGCAGCAGCAGCAGCTCCTGATGCAGCTCTGCGGAGGCCGCGGGTTACCCAGCAGTCGGGAGGACTCGCGTTTCTTGCAGCAGCAACAGCAACAGCAACAGCAGCAGCAGGTAGGGTACTTGACTCGCATGCAGCAGCAGCAGCAGCAGCAGCAGCGTCTGCAAGAAGAGCAGCAGCAGCACTCTTCGTTGCACGGGAAGCCGCAGCAGCACCAGGGGCAGCAGCTGCCTCTGCCTTTGCCTCCGCATCCGCATCAGAAGCAGCAGCAGCAGCAGCAGCAGCAGCAGCAGCAGCAAGTGCGCCCCTCTGCCTATGCCTATTCTCGTCAAGCCAGCCCCGCCAGCCGTCGTTCGTGGTCCGCCAGTCTTTGGGCAAACACAAATTTGCCTCTCAGCCGCCCGGAACAACCGCAACTCCCAGTAAGTAGCTAGCTAGCTAGCTAGCTAGCTAACTACAAACCTGCTCAGCTAGGCAGCTAGCCAAGCAGCTAGCTAGATAGATAGCTGGAGGCGGGGAATGGGAGCTAATAGTTTCGTTGCTGCACATGGGTTCGAGTGGAAAAGAAGAATCATTTGCAACAAAACAGCAGCAGCAGCAACAGCAACAGCAGCAGCAGCAGCAGGAGCAGAGTGTTTGTGGGGTGGTTTGTATGTGCGGTTGCAGGCGTCTCAGTTTATGTTTCTGTTCGAGTCGGAGGCGGCTGAAGGTGCTGCAGCTGCATGCAGCAGCGAGGTTAAGGAAGAAGAATTAAGTGGCTTCTTAGATTTGTCTTTCTTAGCTGGCAGCACTCCTGTTGTCTGCAGCAGCAACTGCAGCTCCCAGCAGCAGCAGCAGCAGCAGCAGCAGCAGCCGGGTGCAGTCGACATCCTGCCGGTCTCTCCGCATGACCTTCACCCGCAGCAGCGGCAACAAAGGCTCTCACCCCCACGTAGACCTACCCCGCAGCAGCAGCAGCAGCAACAACAGCAGCAGCAGCAGCAACAGGTCTTGCGAATGACAGACAGGGCTGCAGCAGTAGAAGCCTTGCGGCATCAGCAGGCTGCAGCTGCAGCTGCTGCTGTTCTCAACAGCCCCATCCGGTTGCCTCCTCTGAGACAGCAGTCTGACGTTGAGGACGACCTGCAGCAGCAGCAGCAGCAGCAGCAGCAACAGCAGCAGCACCAGGGGACACTAATCAATGGCAAGTGGTGTGTTTGCATGGAAGTGCCGCCGCCTCCTTCAGCCCCTCTTCCTTCTCCTCATTTGCTGCTGCTGCATCAGCGCCAAGCTGCTGCTGCCCTTGCAGAGCAGCAGCAGCAGCAACAGCAGCAGCAGCAGCAGCAAGGCATGATGCCACCTGTCGGGGAGCCGCGCTTCCGTGAAGAGCCTATGGGGCATATGGGTGGTGGTCTCTCTCCTTTGCCTCTTGCTGCTGCGAGTTGCTTCAGTGGGGAAGGGCCTTTGCTGCAGCCCTCTGCTGCTGCTGCTGCTGCCGCCGGTGCAGCTGCTGCCGGTGCTGCTGCGCAGGTATACGCCTCCCTCAACAGGCAGCAACTCCCAGCAGCAGCGCTGCACGCAGATCAGGACATGCTTAAGGCCCACAGCAGCAGCAGCAGCAGCAGCAACAGGCTGGCACATTTGTACCTAGAGCAGCAGAAAGCTGCGGCAGCAGCCTCCCGCGGAGTTGCTGCAGCCGATGCAGCCCTTAGCAGCAGCAGCAGCAGCAGCAGTAGGCCATCAGCGGATAGACTGCTAGTGGCGCCTGGAGCGGCTGCAGCAGCAGCAGCAAATTCCCTTTTAGAGAATGACTCAAGAGCAGCAGAGCTGCAGCAACACCCGAGTGCAGCAGGTGCCTGGGCAGACCCACGCACTGGACAGCAGCAGCCTCCCTATGGTAGGCAATAGTAGCTACAGCAGCAAATGCAGCAGCAGCAGAAGCAGCAGCAGCAGCAGGTGCTGCTGCTGCTGCAACTGACGCAAGCGAGTTTGTGAACGAATTGGCCTGGTGATGGGACATTTTTATTTTTGTTGTTTTCTCCATTTGCTGCCTTGAGATCGTCGCCGCTGCTGCTGTTGCTGCTGCTGCTGTTGTTGCTGCTGCTGCTGTTACTGCTGCCGATGCTATTGCTGCTTCTGCTTATAGTTTATGCTGCTGCTGCAGTCAGATGATACTTCCTGAGCCACCGAGGCTGTCGCAGTGTCCTCGGTGAGGTGTACGTACACCGCAGTGCACTGCAGCAGCTGGAGCTGTGGATGGGCTGGCCTTTGATAATTTATCTGCATCAGGAACCAGGGAGCTGCAGCAGCAGCAGCAACCGCTGCTGCTGCTGCAGCTCTAAATCGGCAAGCAGCTGCACCAGCGGGCGTTCAAATGGGGTGTATGCACACCACAGTTTTCGCCTTCGCAGTCCTGGGGGAGATTACAAAATGCACTTCAGCCTCCTACAGGTAGCTACTTGGCTAGCTGCCTGGCTAGCTAGCATCTGGCTAGCCACTTGGCTAGCTGCCTGGCTAGCTACTTCAGTGGCTATCTTTTAGCTCCTTGGCTAGCTGTGCGGCTAGCTAGCTATTTGTTTAGAGGAGTCTACCAGCTCTTCAGCCTCAGTTTTAGCTGTACGCACACCTCAGAGCCCCAGCATTGGGGTAATATACGCGGAACGTCGTCAATCTAAACGAATGGCTTCCTCTCCCCTCTGCTGCATGGAGTGTATGCATACACTACATAGATGTATTAGATAAATATTATATATAGTACATGCATGTATAGTGTATATATATATATATATATATACATGTATATGTACTGTACATAGAGGTTGCTGCGTGAGGTCTGCGTACACCTCAAAGGCGTGCGTTGCACAGAGGCTGAGGAGAAACAAAGGGCGGAGTTTACAGCCACAACATCCAACTCGCTAGCCGGCCTGCAGCTAACTAGCTGGGAGCAAATGGCTGGCTGGGCACTAGCTAGCTAGGTGGCTACTACTGGCTAGCTAGCTAGCTAGCTAGCTAGTTGTAGCTAGAGAGAGCGCAACTCCAAGCAGTCCGATATACGAGGGAGCAACACATCTAGCGGCTGTACGGGCCTTTGTCGAACCGGTAGCTAGCTAGCTAGCTGGCTAGCTAGCTAGCTACATATATACATATACATATATACACGGTGCGTGCCTTATTTAGCCTGAGCTGCGCTTGAGTGCACGCAAAAAGAAGTGCATTAAATAGGGCCGCCTTGTAGTTGAAAAAGAAGTGGATAATCTCTCAAAAAAGAACATATATATATAAATATATATAAAAAATATACATTATATATATTACATATATAATATATATTACATATATTTATATACATATATAATATATATATTATATATATCACTAAGACCTCTTAGCAGAAGGAAAGATAAGGTGATTGCGCGTATCTGTCTTAAAAAACTGGAGGAGAGGAGCAGGTATTTCTTCGGGTCTGAAGAGGCACTTCAAACCACCGCGGCCCTCAACGCCAGCCAACTGAAAGTGAGACCCGTTCTGCAGCAGCAGCAGTAGCAGCAGCAGCAGTAGCAGTAGTTGTAGTTGTTGTTGTTGTAGCAGCAGCAACAGCAAAGAACAAAAGCAACAGCAATCGACAGAAAATGAGCAAGATCAGCAGCAGCAGCAACGACATGAATTGAAATAGGTGTAGATACAGGTGCAGCAACATCCAGAAAAAGCAGCAGCAGCAGCAGAAGGAGAGCAGCAGCAGCGGAGCAGCAGCAGCAGGGCAGCAGCAGCAGAATGAAGAAGAAGCAGAAGATATTTATATATTTGCTGCATATAGGCACATATGCACTAACATTGATACAAAAAATATATTTATATGTATATATAGATATATATATAAACCATCATTATAATAAATAAGCATACATATACAGATATACTTATTCATACATAAATATATATATATATATATACATATATATATATATATATATAAAGATATATAAATAAAGACAAGTAAAATAATCAATAATAAAGAAAGTGAATGCATAAAATAGGCTAACCACGAAGTAGAGGAAGATGTATTTGCTTCTGGGTTTAACATTGCAGCCCGTTGGGTAAATTGCTCCATTTGAGTCATTTAAAACAATAATACCGACATCTAATGCCTCTTCTAGAGCGCAGATATCCGCAGCTGCATGCACAACAAACTAAACACACGCGTTTGCTGCTGTTCATGCTGCTCCTAATGCTACTCCTAATGCTGCTGTTGCTGTGCAGCAACAGAGAGGAGAAGAGTAGAGACAGAAAAGAAGACAAAAGGAGAACAGAGACGAATGTAGAAAGTAAAAAAGGATAAAAGAAAGACAAGGAGAGACAAAGAGAAAGACATTGAGAGACAGACAGAGACAATAGCAGGCAGCAGGAGATAGAAAGAAAGAAAGAGATGAATGAAGACAAAGAGAGACAGAAAAAGAAGCAGAGAGAGATAGAGTAAAGGAGACAGAAAGAAGCTAAGATAGATAGAGAAAGAGACTGAAGGAAGACAGAAAAACCACAAAAAGAGAAGAAGATGAAAGAGACGGAGATAGAAACAGACGAAGCAGAAGAAAGAGACAAAGAAACAAATAATGATAAAGAGACAGAGAAAAAGAGACAAAGAGAAATAAACAAAGAGAAAGAGACGAAGAAAGAGACAAAGAAATAAATAAAAAAGTAAACAGAGAAAAAGAGACAAAGAAAGAGACAAAGAAAGAGAAGAAGAAGAAAGAAGAGACAGAAAGGAGACAGCTCGCGCTGTACCTGTCCCCCAGTGATTATTGCCTGGCTGCTTCAACTCATGGTAAACAGCCTTTGCTTTTCCTTGAGGTGTACGTACATCAAAGTAAGCACCTGTAAGAAAATAAACAAACAAAGACAGACAATAATAGAGAGCAGATAAAAAGAATAACAGTGAACATTAAAAAAAGAAGGAGAAAGAAAACAGAGACAAACAAAACGACATGCATGAGAGACTAACACAGAAAAAAGAGACAGCAACGGCTTTGTCCTGATGCTGAGTTATGTATATATTTTTATATTTTATTATTAAAACAATTAAAAATTTAGTAATACAAATAAAAGCGGCAAGCAGTAAATAAAGACAAATATCAACAAAAAAATAACACACGAACAAACAACAAAACAAACACTATAACGCATCCATATATATATATATATATATATATATGTATATTTATATAGACACATATATATAGACAAAGAAAATATACATATATATATATATATATGGGATTGTAGTGGAGAGACAGAGACAGCAAAAAGAAGTCAATAAAACAATAAAACCAACAAACAAAGACAGAAAAAAAAGCATTAAAGAGAACAGTAATGCATAAAACAACAAAATAAATAATAAAATAAAAACAAAGACAGGCAATAGCTGTACTAAAGACAATATGCAAATACATAATAAGCATCGATAGAGCAAAGTAAAAGACAAGGAAGAAGCAGCAAAGACAGGAGAAGGCATACAAAAAGACAAAAAGTTTACTGAAAGAGCATGTGTATAAACGAAGCAAAACAACAGCACAAAAAAAATAAATACAATAAATAAAATAAAATAAAATAAATGAAGTAAATAAAATAAATGAAGTAAATAAAATAAGTAAAATAAATAATATATAATACCGGCGTTTGATATATAAATGTCTGATGAATTTAAAACTGCTGAAGGAGACCAATGGTCACCCCAGTCTCCTGTCTCCTCCAACACAGACAACAGACGCAGACGCTCCATAAACTCCTCTTCATCTCCTTTCTCAAACTCTGCAGCATTCATAACATTGATTATTTAATATTAATTCATTATTAATTATTGATCAATCAATTACTTAATATTAGTCAATTAATATTAATTAATAGTTATTAATCAATCAATTAATTAATATTAATTAATTAATATTAATTAATTATTAATTATTAATCAATCAATCAATTAATATTAATCAATTAATATTAATTAATAATTATTAATTAGTTAATACTAGTCAAGTAATATTAATTAATTAATTCATTGATTCACTCATTAAATAATTAATTAATCAAATGGTCACCTAATTCATAAAATTAATTAATTAATTAATTAATTAATTAATAAGTTCATAGATGAATAATTTAGTTAATTAATATATAAGTAAATAAATAGAAATTAAGTAATTAATTCGTAAATAAATTAATCTATAAATAAAAGAATTAATTCATTCATTAATAAATAAATGAACGAATAAACAAACATATAAATAAACAAATTAATTAATTAATTAATTAATTAATTAATAATTTGAGCGAAGAAAGCAAACAAATGAAGAAATACGAGTAGCAGAAAGCTTAAAAAACGAAACAGAGACAAAAAGCAGAAAAGACAGACAAAACAAAGAAAACAAATAAATAAAACAAAGAAATATATAAATAAATAAATAAACAGCAAACAAGGAAAAGAAACAGAAGGTAAAGCAATTAATAAATAAATCGAAAGGAAAAACACAAAATAAACAAAGACAAGCATTAAAATATGAGAACAAAAGAACAGAGACAGAAACACATAAAGAGAGAAGGAGACAAATATATAAACAAAAGAAGAGACAGACAAACATAAAAACAAAGCGTAGGAGAGAGACACACGAAGAAATATATAAACAAAGGGAGAGACAGACAACCATAGAAACAAAAACTATGAAAGAGACAGAGAAGCAAATGGATAAACAAAGACAAAGAAAAAGACAAAGACAGAGAGACAAAGGAAAAGACATAGAGAGACAAACAGACAAAGAAAGAGACAGAGAGAGAGAGAGAGAGAGAGAGACAGAGAGAGAGAGAGAGAGAGAGAGAGAGAGAGAC